CCCCAAAACCCCAAAACCCCAAAACCCCTTGACATTTTACTAAGATTGGTACAATGAAATTCAATTATTTACATAAATTATTTATCTTCTTCGGAAGCATCAACTTCAGAAGCATCAACTTCTGAAGCATTAGCATCTAAATTTATAACTAGATTTGGGTCAAGACAGGATCTTAGGTCTCTGTCTTTGTTACCTATCCGAGGAAGGTTAAAGCGTGCTATCTGGACACTATTATGTTCCACTCCATCAAGAATCAAGCCATCATGGTGTTGCTTTATGGACTCTTGTGTAGCATTAAGCATTGTGTGTCTCAGTGGTCATTTACTAGTCTTTCAAAGTTTATAGAACCTAAACAACTTTCCTGATGGTTTATTAAATATCGCACAGACCTTCTGATGCTGTTTTACCAAACTGATTGTAAAATGTTCATATTTAGTCCTGAAGTTATTTCGATCAATCCTGCTAGCGAGACCATCAAGGATGTATCTCATTTTGACCGATATAGTACGATATTCTTCAGATTTGACTCTAGAAATTGAGATATCAACCTGCTGGTTGATCATATATGTTTGAATATTTTGCAGTAAGGTTTCCTTGGTGATTTCGTGTTTCCGACATATATCTTTCAAAAATTCTTTCTCATTATGCCAATTCCTTCAGAATCGTTCTTTAGTCTGAGTAGGGATCGCTAGAGCTTTCAATTTTACCCATGATTCAAATGCTGAATTTAATATTTTCTGAAAATCACGTTTAATGATTGAGATCTTGTCGAAGTCTTGAATATCAAATGCTCAACAAAGTGCACTGGCAAAAGAGCCCATGTAATCAGGTATAAGCTCATAATCCTCACTTAATCCACGATATTCCTTATTTCAGATTGGTAGTTTAAATTTAGGCCCTTTTGTTTGCAAAACAAAATCTTCATAAGCCATCGGGGTTGCCTTCAGCCTAGCATTTATCTTTGAAAATATTTTGTGATTCTCTTCTCTAAATTTATCCCGAATGTTGGATGTCGAGATCGGAACATTAGGTGCCCAGATTTCTTTTGCAAGAGGATCATTTAAGCTCTCGGATTCTCCTTCAATCTTTATCCCTTCAAAGATCTTTTTAGCGTCTTCTGTCTCTCCTAACTTCTCTTGTTTAACAGAGATATCATGATTGGCATCAAGAGTTGAAAGTCCTACTTTCTTTCCCATCATTTCTGCAGTTTCAGAATTAAGGATATTTCCCATATTGAATAAGGAATCAAGGTCTTCTTCAAGATGATTAGATCCTACCTTGCTCTCTTCTGGTCTTGCCTTAGCCATAGTATGGGCATCAAAGTTATCAAAGAGTCCATTTCCTTCTTCACTGTCGTCCGAATCCTCAAGACCTTTCTTATTTTTCAACGAATCTATCTTCTTCTGGACTTCAGGAGGAGGCTTTATTCCTCTAGATTGGAACCATTTCTCAGCTTCAAGAGGATCAGCTGGAGGATATTTTCTAGGTCTTCCTCTTCTTTCCTCTTTTTTAGGCCATACTTCAACCTTATGGTTCTTTTTCCTGAGCTCTGCTAACTTTTCAGCGGAGATAAGAATCACTTTTTGCCTGTTATCAAGAGTGTCTGGGTCAGTTACAATTGTGCAATCTTCAGTGATGATATACAGGTCGTCTATGTCCACAGTTCTATTGAAAATCTGATCAAAAATTACTGAAATAGTGTCTCCATCTTTGATTCTGACCACACACACTGGCTCTGAACTTACCAAGGAATTTTGCACGAGCAAGATCTTCTTATCAGGAGCCGGACTATTCGAGAACGTCAAGTCTTTGGATGTATCTATCATTTTTAAATAATTTACTAATTTGAAGGTATCTAATTTAATGGGGTTTTGGGGTTTTGGGGTTTTGGGGTTTTGGGG